ATTTTAAACTGTAGATGGCAGTACTAAAACTGCCAAGACTTAAAACGTAGAAGAAGAACAATCGGTTTTCCAAAGTTCAACAAATCCCCGTGTAATGTCTTTTAGGCAGCAAGTCAATCCTAACCCCATCAGTTGTCTGCCTGCAACAAGCATTCCTTGTCTTGAACCATCTTTTCATTTATTATTAAACGCAATTTTATGTTTTAGAAGAAGCATTTTTGCGAACCAAATGATTAAAAGGCCTTTGGTGCTGCTGCCTGTAAGACAACGCGGAGGGACTATTACCCACTTAAAGCGCGCGTCGCGGGTTATTTACAAACAGGGAACTGCGCCATTATTTTTGTTAGCACTAGCGGTGATTAGAAATTTAACGAAACTTCATAACTGTCAGCTTATATTTACCTATACAGTTACTTCACACAAGTATTTTATCCGAGCGGTCGCTGATAAAGGCATTCGGAGAACTGAAATTAGTTTTTTTTTTTTCATAAACGAAATGATAGCTAGGCTAACTCTAGCTAGCTGTGTTAAGTTTTTGCTGTTGCGTCGTGTAACGTAACTGCTGAAGCAGACAAATGGAGACAGATTACCCCAAATCGGTAGGTTAAGCCAGTGTTTGTCTATTTGTACATTTTTCCCGTTTGAAGAAGCGTTAATACAGATGTATTGTTTTATATAATAGTGTTACTAGAACAACGTTATTATCCCTGATCACGTCACAGAAACTCTGCATTCATTTAGGGAGACTTCATTAACTGTCTTCTTTCTAGCCATTGAAATGGTGAATTATCTCTGTCAACCTCCATTCTCATGTAAAGTGATACAATTGTCGCTGCTGTGAAAATGTCAACTGTCTGTTTTCAGAGGAGATCCAAGAGAAAACTCTGCTACCTTAATGAAAGGTAAACATATTCATAACATACCTTTATGTAATAAAGTTGATCCTAGTCATTTAAATGTTTTAGTGGTCCTACTTTATTTATATTCAGAAACCAGTAAATGTATGTTTGTGTTTTCTGCGGCCAGTTTAGTTTAGTAAACAACAAAAATATTTACATTTGTCAAAAAGAAAAATAAGTAAGTCCTCTGGACGGGTTCTTCTTTAATGAAACGTTTCGTCTCTCCTCCAAGAGACTTCTTCAGTCTGTTTCAGGTGAACTCATCCTGTTCAGCCAGAAGAACCCGTCCAGAGGCCTAACAATTTTTTTCTTTTTGATTTTTTTACCTGGATTACTGAGATGGATCAGGACATTTACAGTTGTCACAGTTTACATTTAATGACATGGAAGTATTTTATAGTTTTCTGCACATACGGCCTTGTGGATCGTAGGGAAGAGCATTGCATTCACAAAAAATGGAGGAAAAAAATAGACTCCAGATCTCCTAATTATGAGATATGTCATAATTAGGAGAAAATATGTCATAATTACGAGAAAAATGAAGGAGAGTCATAGCTGACTTACACTACAGGGAAAGTGAACAAGTTGCACTATTTGTTTTGATATGCTTTTATTTCCTCTTGTGTATTAAGACACTGGTAAATATTGAGTTTATTTAATGCGGATGATGTTGCGTCTGCAGGTTTGTTAATAAATCCACCTGCGTGCTAATCTACAGGTGTTACTTCTGTTTAATTCAGTTTATATAACAAGATATACTCTCATCTGAAGCAACTATGACACTATCAAAACAAGCTCAAAAAGCAGATATAAAGATATTAATGAAAAACCTTATCTATTGTCTCAAAGGAATGTTTAGAGCAAAGACATCAGGTCTGTATAAGGACGTAAATTTGATTTTTTTTTAAATTTCTAATGGTGTATCCGTAGAATCCTTACATTATTTAATGACGTAACCTAATCACTCATATTTGTAATTATAAAATAGTCTATTTTATTTTTACTTTTATATGTAAAGTTTATTATTTGTGTAGGATTTGTAACTTTTTTTTATTTATTTTTTTACTTCAGGCCATCTAATCATTGGGAAAAACCGTCATCACTCATAGATGCTGACAGGCTGTTTGATGACATTGGTGACTGAGATGTTTTTTTTCTTTAAGCTCTGTCAGTTTGTTAGTTTTACCATTTTGATGATAATAATCCGTGTGTGCCTTTTAAAAAAATGTTTTCAGGTGTGTGTGCTGAGCTATATCCAACTTGTGCTGCACTGCAGAGTTCTCATTCTGGCACAAACCAGAGTGAGACATCGGATCCTTCAGTCCCGCAGGAAAATCACCTGACAGAAAATTCTCCAGTACTTCAAATCCTCTCGAGCAATCCCTTCAAACCAGTGACTAAAATTACAAGTGTACGGTTTTAAAATTTGATCACGTTCTTGTGACTTAGCATTCTGAGTAAAAAATGTCTTTTCCTTTCTAATACTGCTCTTGTTTATGATCGTGCATTGTCTGAAATCAGATAAACTTGGATTTAAGCAAATCGATATTGATTATTCATCAGTTTTTTTTAAAAAATGCTTTGTTTTGCAATTATTTAGGAACTTGATGATGATGTCTTTCAACCTGCTAAAAGATCACCGCATTTTAAACTGGACCTTGGTAAGAAACTCAATTTACTAAAAATAATGGGTGTAATATTTTCCCAATATGTCATTTGTTGTTGTTGTTTTGTTTTAAATGGTAAATCTGTTCTTTGTTGCAGATTTGGACATCCCATTCAAAGCACACGGTCCAGTAAAGACCTCCAGCCCTATTGAACAGGAAATGTGCAGAAAGCCAGACGATGAAAGCAGCAGCGTGTTCCCGATTCTTTTTAACTGTGACACCGAAGCTGCAGAGGAACCTGACGAAAACCCTCCAAACACCCAGAAACCGCGATGCAATGGAAGAGTCACAGACAAGTAAAAAACTCTTTATTTTGACCTTCTTCTCAGAAATAACATGGTTTAAAATTATTTCTCCTCCTAGTTTTATTTTATTTTTTGTGTTTACGTTACAATTCTCATTCTGTCCAGCAGTGGTGGTGAAATGGAGTTTTCACCAAGCAGAGTTTCTCTGATGTCCATCCACAAAGAGGTGGCGAAAGCGTCACAGTAATTTTTCTGTAAAGCTGATTTTATTTAGTTTGAGCTTCTGCTACAAAAGTACAAAAAGCACAACTATGTTTGTGGTTATTATTATAAGCAGTGTTGAAGCTTTTGTGATTTCTTCATCTAATACAGGGTGTTCACCATGTTTTTAAAAGGTAATAAATGAAATGAACAAAAATGAAGGCCATGAAGAAGTAATAAATGTCGACTGATGAGGTATTCAATTTTTGAACAACTAACCAAATTAACGTTTTTTTTTTTCTCCAGT